ATACCTGAGAGAGAGCCAAGATTCACTTGCTATGAAAATCCAATGTCCCTTGTGCAGACGTTACACTGAACTGGGAAGAAATGGAGTAGAAGATCTGCCAACTAACATCACACTGAGTGCCCTAGTGGAGGAGTTTGCAATACAGGAACAGCTTCTACAAGGTCAAGGGTCAGAGATCAAATGTCAAAGCTGTGAGGAGAAAAATCAAGCATCTTTATTCTGCATACAGTGTGCTCAGTTTCTCTGCCAAGACTGCCAGAAAGTACATGGACGCCTTGAAGGAACAAAATTTCACAAAACCTACACAATGGCTCAGCTTCAATCAGGAGAGATTGCCTACAAAAGCAAACTAAGAGAAGAACCAAAATGTGACAAACATCCTGATCACAATATTAACATTTATTGCAACACATGTCAGCAGTTGGTATGTACAACTTGCTCTGTTCTGAAACATCAAAAGCATTCCTGTGCCGGTATAGCTGAGGCTTTCAATAAATGCAAACAAGAAATTGAAGGACTGATGGCAAAGGCTGAAAAAAAGAAGACAGAGCTGAACAAAGCAAAGGAAAACACCTCCGAGTCCCGCAAGAAACTAGACACCATGTTTGAAGCCACAAATAAGAAGATTTCTCAAAAAGCCAACAAGAAGGTTGCTAACATGGCTAAGGAGGTTGCTAGGATCAGAGAGATGGAGCGGCAATTGAAGCATGAGGCCAAGGAGATCTATGAAGACAGAGTCAAGACATTGGAGACAGCTAAAGATACCAACAATACACAGCTGACAATGGTAGAGCTAGAACTGGCTGAGATAAACCAGTTCCTGGCTCAAGAACTCAAGACGGAGATTTTACCTCTGCAGCAAAAATTCTTGCTCTCTCTCACAGAACTGACTGAACAACAGCCAGAAGCCGTGCCAGAGAAATTAAACATTATTGACTTCCACGAGTACGATGAGACTAAGGAGCTTGGAAGGCTGATTCTGGAAGATGAATGGAGAATGGATAAGAATGTGAAAGTGAAAGAAAAACATCAAATTAATTCTGTTGCAGTTTTCTCAAATGATGAAATAGTCACCGTGGACACTGAACTCAGTCGTTTGAGACTTACACGTAAACGGCTTGTGACTTACCGGTATTTACCAACAAGCAACCCTCAATCCCCCTTCATCTCCCAAGTGCTACAAATTCCAGATATCACAGACCCATGCCAAGTTGCAGTCAACAGGCTAGACCATCTCATTGTCCTAGATGGTCTTGCAGTCAAGACCTTCAGCAGAGAATATCAACTCCTCCATCAGTTCCAGCCAGGAACTGATTCAGAGAGCAAGCCAACCTGCCTGGCAGTGGATGAAGACAATCTGATAGCTGTGGGCTACAAGGCCAAGGGAGAGATCAGCCTCCACAACCCAGATGGAACCCTCATCAGGAAACTAAAGGCACCAATGATTGAAGATCAACTGGTAGCCAGCAATAACCGTTTAATGTACTGGTACGTGTACAGTACCTTCATGCTTGAACAATTGGCACTGGTATCTCTAGATTACTATGGTCAAACAGTATTCAATGTGAACACAGACTTGCGTCTGTTCACATACATGTACATGTTTTATCCTAGGTGCATCTGCTGTGACAGTCAAGGTAACATCTACATGTACAAGAGCTATGATAATGAAACATCGCAAGAGACGACTAACCTTTTCAGGTCTGGGGTTCATCAGTATAATTTCGAGGGCATGCACATTAGATGCATAATTAAGGAAGATATGGATGTCAGTGCAATGACATTTACATCTTCAGGAGATCTGGTGCTGGGTGGTAAGGCTTTATTGAAAGTCTACTGTCGTGTTTGAAATCTGAGCCTTTCAGTCAAATGGGAAGTAACAAAGAAACTGTACAGACACGTAAGTAGTTCTGTGTGGTAGGATAATGTTTTTGTGATATCAGGAAAGTGCCTGTTGGATAATCTCTACTGCTGACTCAAGAAGGAATTCACTTCATCTACTTCGAACTGCAAGTGATGTAAACACAGATTACTGAAAAAAAATATTTGCCAGAATAGCTCGATATTAACAGATCTAGAATGCACACTTGAAAATCATAGGGAAACACTTCTCGTTATAAATTTCAAATAACTAAACCTAGTCCTAGACACTGCAGAACATTCTCAATCATATTTTCTAAAAAGTTTTACTGTATTTAGTCAAGATTTGGCAATTATCAAACATTTTCCACATCCCTGAAATTGAGTGTATTCCACATACATGTACCAACAATGGATTCCTGAACCATATATTCCTGGACCAAATGAGAAGCAGGGTTGTCAAGTAAACTAGAAAACAGGCAAAGAAACAGAACTTTACAAAATTTGTAATTAATCACAGAGAACTGCAGCAATGTTTGTTCTGTATGAAGAAGAAACATCTGAAATAAAGCAAGAAAAGAAAACAAAGGAGAGTGGGCGGGGACTGAATATTTTTGCATTAGAAACATGACTGTTGGAAAAATCAAAACTTCTAGTAAGCTCTGTATTCTAATATAAACCACTCTCTTATTTGGCTATCATACAATACATGCACGTATCTCTGCTGTACAATGTACATAGAGGTGACCGGGCTAACGAAGATTGAAGATTTACTTTCTCGATCCTTCAAACCCAAAAGAATGAGCCACTATGGACCATCAAAACAAACAATGGATTGAATGATTAGCTTGTGACCTGGTATAAACTATGAGGAACATTTAAATGATTATGCTTCTATCAAAATGTTGCAGCAGTACTGCGAAATCAAACTCAACATGAATGTTGGGTGGATCTGGATGTAAACAGATTGGACAAACAAGAATTGTAACAAAATGGGCGAACAGATTCAACAATTTTTAGACACTCATGCATGTAAAAAAAGATACATGTGATATCCTGAACGGAAGAGTTGTTACTAAAAAGAGTGTGAAATTTCTAAACAAAATGTTATGAATATCTTGAATTACATGTAGTTAGTGAGCATTTGCAACGAAATTTTAAAAAAAGCTTTATGCAGAGAACTATAAAATTGTTTTGCACTTACTAAAATGTTTAGTCAGAGTGTGTAAAAGCACAGGACTTGTGTAAATAACTTGAATTTATGTTCTTGTTTTGCACTTAGTATTCTTTAATCTTTTTAAAAGGTCTTGTGATCTTACTAATCGAATCGAGTTCATGTTGATCTATCAGAGTTACTTTTCTTTTCTTATTTCCTTGTTCAGTCTTAAAACTGTTAGCATCTTGTTCAAAAACGACAAAGCAATTTCCAGCCATGTTACAAATCTTCATAGTAGTCCAATTGTGATCTCTGTCCAAGACCAAATTGCTTGACATAGGAATAACATCTGTTACTGAAAAAAACAGACTTCCTTTCGTACATTTTTATCAATTTGAGGCTAAAATCAAGTACCAGAACCTGCTGACCATACATCTTTGGAGTTTAAAGGTGAGAAGAGTTTTCCCCTGTAAAACTCTGGACTTTGTGACTGATATGTACGCAGAGGGTGACAAGGAGCGTGTATTTCTTAAACCAAATTGCTTCAGTGTTTAGCTGGGCTTGGAAAATGTGAACAACATGAGGCAACATTTCGCTACTAACTGTTAGGAGGCATTTCACTGATATTATAATGCTTGTATATGGCTTTCATTTACCTGTACTTGGTAAATTTAGCTTTAGTTTAAACTACTTGCAAAGTGTGTTGTTATTTGAGATTTCCTGAAAGGAAATAGTCTTGCATTTGTTTTTGATGGAAATTGGGAGAAATCTAGACCAAAGGGTTAACAATTTGCAGAGGTATTTTAGAAAAAAAAGCTTGCACACAGAAGATTGCTACTATAATGCATGGTTAGCAACGAACATGTAGATGAAGAAAAACATTTTGTAAGCAAATTTTATTCCTGGATGCAAATGTTTGTGTACTAGTCTAAAGGAAGATAAGTGATATACGCCAGGGCAAATTCATTTGTTCAGAAGGTTAAGGTTTGTCAATCTACTTTTGTGGATTGTTGTTCATCGTTACAAATCATTTCAACACTCTGATCTTTCGTAGTTTCACTTTCAAGTGTACAC